ATGATTATGTTATAGTGGGGCTCTTTTTGTCCAACGGGTTCTTGGTTAATTAATAATTTCGAAAAATAATTTTTTGTGCAATAAATTTTATTGTTTGGACATGCCTGCATAAAATCATCTCAGCTAGCGTATTCTAATAACTTATTTAAGAAACCTTGGTTGTTTTGTTTGCATGTGATTGTCTTCTAAACATGGTTAAATCATCAAGAATTTCTTATTGGACTAACCATGCTATTAATTTTGTCTTTAAAGATAACCATCGTAGATTATTTACAATAATACTTATTCGGCTTGAGGATATAAAGGGAAAAACAAAAAAAATCTAACTATGGATAATTTTTACTTTTTAATTACAAACGGGAACATCCTCCTTATATTTTTGGTCAAACATTTGCTTGACATTTGGTGTATCGACTGAAAAATTTAGTCATTCTTCTAATTTTGGGATGGTCCTCATCATTTTCATTCCTTTCGTCAGATCATCTTCTTTGGTCAGATCATCTGGAAGACTATGATTTTTTCTTAGAATTGTTTTTTAGCATGAAATGGTATTGGGAAAGCAAAAATTGCCACCTTGCATAGCTTTGTAACTTTGGGCTGCTGATAAGCTTTTTTTTCGTTAAATTGGCTAAATTGATTGGGTCTGTTCTTAAGATAAGTTTTCTCCAAGCAGACTATAATGAAACTTTTTCTAGTCATCTCATTATTTTCAACTTCTTTTTTTGTGCTGACTAATAATTTAACTCATGCTTCTTTAGTTGCTGCTTGTTTAGACACAATTCTTTCGTGTTTTCCATCTTTTTTAATGAACACAACCGCCCATGTGTCTGCAGAAGCCTCAATACTCAAGACAAATAATTTGTTGTTTATTGGGTGAAGAGGAGGTTTGGACAAACTTTTTCAATTGTTGAACCTCCTTTGTTGCTTCAGCTTTTCATCTGAAAGGATCCTTATTCATATTTTCCAGATCTCTCCCCCCCCACCCCCACCCAATCCTTGAAAGGGCTGAATAAAATCCCGAATATAATGAAGGCACCCTAGAAAACTTTGGCATTGGAGTTTGTCCTGCAATTGGTCAGGGAATTTTCAATCTTTTAAAGAATATTGGGTTGCATTATGGTTTTTCCTTTGAAATACATACTCCAAGAACGTCAACAACATGTAAAACTTTTCTTTGGGCGCAGAGAGGCCAATCCTGTGCTTCTTTACCACTTGTGCAATAATTTTTAAGTGTTGTTCATGTTCCTGCACATTTTCAAAAAAACTCTAAACACCATCTATATGGTTAGCAATAAAATGTACATGTGGCCTAAAAATTGAATCCATTTGCCTTTGAAATTAAGAAGGCACATTCATAAATTCAAAGGGCATAACTAGCCACTCATATAGTCACTTCGCGGTTAAAAAAGTTGTTTTATGATTCTCTTTTCCAAGGATTTTGACTTGATGATACCCCATATTTGCAGTAAAAATTTGAAGATATCTTTTTCTTAGCTACTCTTTAAATTAATCCCTCTTTGTTAGATAAGGGTCACTTAATATGAACTGTCATATTATTGAGGAATATAATTTATCACCGTCTTAGCTTTTTCTTTATTTTCCTCACTGTGATTCCTAACTTGGAAGGACGCACTAGAGTAGTTTGACTGAGAAGACGTGACCAACCCTGTTTTTACGAATTCTTTATTTGGTATTTACATTTCAATTGCATCTTCTTTGTCATGCCTTATTGGCTTGCTCTGAAGTGGCATCTTGTGAGTAGTGTGACTGTGGCTGTTGGGGAATCTCTACCCATTTTTCTAGAAGGTATTTTTCATATTTTTTAGTTCTTTGACTTCCTTTCTTATAGTCAACTGTGAACTCACCTCTACTGACATGCCCTTGACTCGTTTGGTAATCTATAGTTTTCTTGCTCTTTTTCCATCAAATAATTGTTCTTAATATTTTTAATGGAGGGATTCCCATTCATCTTTTGTATATTTGTTTTTTTTCCTTTAATTGTAAATACCAGAATATTTAAACTGTTATGGCCTCATTGCATCCATTTTAGAGTTCCTCGTCCTACCTAGTATCCTCTATCATTAATTTCTATAGAATTTTCTAATATGCATTTTCCTCTGATTTTTAGAGGAACATCTAAGGAAAAGTCTGTGTTTTCTCCTTCCATTCGTGGTTACCGTGAAATCTCCTTAATGAAGTCTGTCCCGATTATCCCATAATTCTTTAGTGCAAAAGTTTATATAAGCAGCAATGTTTACGAAAAGGTCAACTTTCTTCCAAGTTCCTTTTCATTTGTGGAAATTTTAGCTGGCACTGATAAATTATGTTTATACTTGCACCATTTTGCTTATTTGATAAGCTTATCTCTTTTGAACTATTTTTCACGAGGTTTATCAAATAGGTTTCAAGAAGCACCTTTGTGATCACTCTTAAAACTTTGCTTTATTTTGGTGATTTCAATCTCTCGGTCTGAAAATATCAGCAATTCGTCCTCAGAGTTAGAGAAGATAAGAATTCACACCTTCAATTATTTGATAAGAACATGAAGTTTCACAAAGTTCAACTTTTTTCCTTTTTTCTTTTCCTCTTCTTATACTTCATCGGCCCTTGATGCCATTTTAATTTGCCACATACTTTCCTCCTTGGTTGCAACGTCATTTAGCTTGCTATCAGAGTGACTGGGTTGGTTTTCTTCTTTTCCTGTTTAAGTGAGCCCATTTGATTCATTGCTTAGCGCTAGAGAACTGTGGTGGATTCCAGTGTGCTGTATTTCTATGTTTCTCTTTTGGTTTCTTCATGGTGTTCTTTAAGAACTTTGTTTCCATGGAGAGAGCGAATGATATTTGGTGAGAGAAAAACTTGTTACTATTAAGGTACATTTTCTCAAAGGTGTTCCTAAAAGGTCACATCAATTTAGAACATGTGATTATTATGAGTATGAGCTAGAAAAATATGCAATTAGCATATGTGTTCTGAATTAGTTTGGTGAGGATAAGCTTAACTATATTGTTCCCAACAAATCATATCCCAGTATCCATCTAGCGAGATAAAAAAATTAAGTCAATGGAAAACAGATCCTTTTGCTAGATGAAATTATGGAGTGCGATCAATTACTCTCAGGACTTGAACGTGATGTATTACAAATTTACTCTTCTCGAAGCACTTGATAAAGATGGTTAGTTCAGAACAGTTTTCAGATCGATAAATCTGGTGCCTTTTTTGGTTGAGCAGGAGACAACAACAAGATCTTCAAGCAAAAAGCTTGACCGAATAAGCAGTCAATAGTTCAGAAGACAATGAATCCGAAGTAAATTAGATAATGAGGAGTCTGGAGATTGATTAGATGTTGGATAAATCCCTTAGAATTTGATGATGGAGATCAGCCAGAAGCCCAATGGCTAGATGAGCAGAACCAAATATGAAGGTGAGGTAAAAGAAAAAATCAGTTCTAGACATTCCTTTGCTTCCTCTTCAGACATTTCCTCCTCATGTAACCTTAAAAATCCAAGTTCCATATTTAAGCTTCTTAGAACCTCTTCCTTCCATTCTTTTATCCTTGAACAAGAAGGTTTTATTGATAACATGGAAAATGTAAAATTTTTTACGGTTAAAAAGGAAAATATTTATTATTCCTTTTTAGAAGTCTTGTTTATTGAAATCGGTCTATGTTAAAGGCAAATCTGCATATAACAGTTCTAGGTATTTGTCCAATATTTTTGCTAATTTTGAAAAAAGATAAAGTGGAACGATGGATCCACAAAAAAATATTAGTTGGTTCGATAATCCATGAAAATTGAGATATTGAGGAAGATATCGCATATAGAATTTGAGTTGGGTACGCGAAGTGGAAATGTGCAATCGGACTTTTATGTAATCGTTGCGAACCAATGAAGTTGAAGGGTAAGTTCTATAGGATGACTATGAGACCAGCTTTGCTTTATGCGGCAGAATGTTGGGCAGTCAAGAAAAAACATACCTATAGAATGAGTGTAGTTGAAATGAGGAAGTTGAGATGGATGAGGGGCAAGACAAGAAGGGATAAAATTCAAAATGAATACATTCGGGAGAATTTAGGTGTGGCACCAATCGGCGATAAGAAGAGAGAAAATAGACTTAGGTAGGTTGGCCAAGTGCAGCGCAGACCCAGTACGTCACCTGTTAGGAGGTACAAGTTAGTTCAAGTGGAAGGCCCAAAAAGGTCAAGGGGTAGGCCCAAACGGGTATGATTGGAAGCAGTGAAAAAAGATATGGGGACATGTGGCCTCACTGCGGGTGTGACTCTTAATAGAGCAGAATGGCGGACCATGATTCCTGTAGCTAACCTAAGTAGTTGGGAAAAGGCTCTGATGATAATGATATTTATAGGAGATCACACCGCATTTACATTTAAAAAATGAGTTATACTGAATTTGCTAAAGTATATAGAATTCAAAATATTGTACACTTTTTAGAGAAATTTTAAAAAAGAACCTTTGATAGTCTTCTCTGTAACAATTGTAGTTGTTCAATGATCTTTTGCAATGGTGATGGTCCCCGGTTACTACTTGTTATAGATATCAGATGTAGGAAATGTATACAATGAGAGCACCTTTGTTTGGGGCACAGTCCCACAAACCAGCCATCAAATGTCAATAACAGCTGGGGTGTGACGCTCCTCTGCTTTTTTTTAGACAGACTTTAAGCAGGTAAATGACAACCTCAACCATCCTTGTTGAATCTGATGGCTGGGGATAGTGTGGTGGGTGCATCATCATCATCGGAGTCTTTTTTCAACTAATGGGGTGGTGGGTACATATTGGAAGTTAATGCTCTCATTGTACATGCTCCCTTACGTGCAATTGCGTGTGTATGCACAAAAACAAATGCATGCATGCATGCATATGGCTTTTGGCCTCTCAATTTAACTTCAGTATGCTTTGGCTTTGCATTGTTTATCAATAATTTTTTATCCAATTGGAACATGGTATTGGACAGGATTTGAATAGATGGTTTTGATGTAGGGTCCCTCAAAGTAATGCTTTTGTGTGGTTCTGATCTACTCGAGTCTTTTGACATTCCTGGAGCATGGATTTGTGATCAGGTATGTTTCTTCATTTTACAAAGCCTCAATTATTAAGTATAGTATGTTTGTACTTTCTCACTAGTTATCAATTGGTATCATGAATGAAATGTTGGTTTTTAATATTGTTACTTATGGGTTCTCTATTATGGTACTTTTTTAGCATATGGAAAGGTTGGGCTGATCGGTGTTGTCAACTTTGTCCGAGCCTGCTTTGGTTTAGTTGGGGAAATGAGCCCTTTGTGCTTTGTCCTCTGGTTATTGAAAGATATATAAAAAAAAAAAACTAAGAACTTAACAAAACAAGGAAAAAATTGAGAGTTAAGCATTATAATAAGATTTGATGGGTCAATCCTCTAGAAGTTGCTATGTTTTGAAGAAAATCATTTGAACCCTAAATTTACCTGAAAAATGGATCTTTCTTGAACCCTAAATTTACCTGAAAATGGATCTTTCTTGGACTGTTTAGGTTGAAATTGGGGTTGCTTTGTGAAGGGAGTTGTTTTTTATGATTTGGAACCAGTACATGATACCTTGATGACATGAAAAATTCAAAGAGGAAGGAGAAAGTAAGAATTCAGTGAAGTAAAACTCTCAATGGAACCCGGATTTTGCTCCTCAGTTTCATCCCTAATTGCCTGAAATTGGGAGAGGGAAAAAATAGATGTTCCTGAACCTTAGAATTGTTACTTGCTAGGTTCAGTTTCAGAAAGTTAAGAGGTGGGGTTCCCTTTGCTTTTGCCTTACTGGCTCAAGCCAAAGCCAAACTTCTCAATCTCTTTCCTGAAGCTAAACAATTTTGCTAGCATTGGTCTGTAACAGTGCTAAAAAACTTGCCATTACTTAGGCTTAGCCCCCTGCAGAGCTTGGAATACCTCAAATCATCATCTGAATTACTGTAGCAACTCAGCAAGTTTTTTAGAGACTCAGCAAGTCCACATAAACACGAATCCAATAAAGAAACAGTTTAAAAGGGAGGAGAGGGCTGGGGTAGCAGCAGAAATCTGACCCATTCTTCCATTTTTGCTCTTGTTTAAGCTGAGTTCAATCTCAAAATTCACACCTTGGTCTCGTTTCACATACTCTCTCAATTGGAAAGATCAGTTTTGAGAGAGGAAAAAAATCGAAACACTTGGATTTTCTAAATTTTTGTTTTTCAACCTAGGTTTTGGTGAACGTTGGTTTCCTGCAAAAGTCCTGTCACCTTGAAATTTCTTCCCTGAGCCTATTTTCAAAATCTTAGATTTGCAAGATTTATTTATTTGTATACATACTGAAAGTGTCAGATGTCTCCTAAGAGCCTCACAGTTGCAAGATATGGAGACCCAAATCGTCCACCCCAAAAACCGTGTCGGATCGGTGGATCGGCATGTCAGATCGGAGAATCGGTCGAATCAACAAGTTTTGTTCCAAATGTTTTTCAAAAGATTACTATAAATCTCAAAAAATAGTGTTCTTTTAGTTTCTAAAAGAAATTAGGAGTGGTGTGTTATGTATTTTCATTACTTTGTAAAAATAAGTGAATATTGAGATACTGTTTTCCTCTATGGTTGTCTGTTGAATTATTAATTATAATATAGTATTATAACATTACATTAAAATAATTTAAAAATATTAGAAAAAACTTCCATATTATAAGATTAAAAAATAATTTACCATATAAAGTGAAATTAGTATCACATCAAAGTATCAAACATTTATTAATTCGTGTGATAATTAATTCGGACAAAAATATAAAATTTAGAAACATGAATTTGCAATCACATTTTAATGAAATTAGAAAAACAAATAAATAATAATGAATTTCAATGAATTGTCCATGCAGTAACGAAATTTAATGAATTCTTTTAAAATTTCAAAAATTCAGTTTAAGAATTTTTAATTCTTTTAAAATTGCTATTTCAAAAAATTCTTGTTGAAATTAGCAAAATAAATAAATAAAATTAATTTCAATGAATTGTCCATGCAGTAAAGAACTTTAATGAATTCTTTTAAAATTTCAAAAATTTATTTAAAGAATTTTAAATTCTTTTAAAATTGCTATTTCAAAAAATTCTTTTAATTTTTTTTTTTAAAAAAACTACTATTTTCCTAATGTCAATTTTAAGTCAATGATAGTAGTCTCACATCTTAATTTTCCTAATGTCAAAACAGCTCATCAGATTTTAATTTTCCTAATGTCAAATCGCTTGTCACATTTTTATTTTTCTAATTTCAAAACGCACATGTTAATTTAGCTGTATTGATTTCATAAAGTAAAAACGATGGAGATATATCCCACATCGTAGAGTGAAAGGAGCCACAGGTTCATTTGAAGTGTTTAAGGCTCCCGTCATGATAGCCTGCGCGTAAGTGGGGGGTTGGGGCTATAGTGGGATGGACCCCACTCCACGTGATGGTAGCCTTCCCTCATGTTTTTAAAAAATTTCAAAACCATACGTTTAAAAAAATTCAGTTGATGGGGCCTGTGGGTTTAAAGTTGGCGCCCACTATAATTTTTTTTTATATAATTCATAAATTTTATTTTCAAAAATTTCCTGAATTCTCCCCATTTTTTAGGGATATTTTGTGGTCAACTCACCTGATTTGGGCTGAATTTGGTGAGTCTCTAGTGGACTTGCTCTGGGCACCCATCGAGTCCCGGAGAAAATCCTGGTTCTAGACACCAATCTATACTGTTGTTCATGTATTCCCTGTAAAAAGATGGAAAATGAATGATATAATACAACTCATATACATGGCTTGAAAGGTTATGTAATGGATGAAATTTCTCATTATATTTTGCCTCTTCAGGTCAGAATGATATGCCGAGATTATGGAATTGTGTGTATACGTAGAGAAGGAAATGACATTGATAAGATCATTGCTGGAGATGACATTTTGTTTGAAAAATAAGGTGATGTTTCATTGGTTTGCTATGTTTAATTGGCCTTTTTCTTGTACCAAAATAACACTATGGTCGTGGATGAACCAAATTATATTGGCTCGACAAGAGTAAGGTAAATGCTTGCTTAACACAAACACATACATATGAGTGCATACACACACACACAGACTCTGGATTTTGTCTCGTTATAACAGAATTACGGGAAGTTAATGATTGTATCTTGGATGCATTCGTCATTGAAATCTATTCAATACTTATGGACTAGAACTAGATTTATTTCAAGTTATTTTTATCATAAAAATACAATTCAAATACTATCACTTTGACGGCTTTTTCCCCCTTAGCCTTATTGCATAAGACCAATGTTCTCTTTTATGCTTTTTTTGGATCTGCAGGGCGATCATAAAAAAAGGTTCTTCTGTTACAAATTGGATAACAGACGAAGTTATCAATTACATTGATCGGCACCAGCTCTACCGGAATAACGATGAATTGAAGTCATGAATAGTCTTTGGTGGGATGTTGTGTCATATTTGAATAAGCTATTGGTTAGAGTGACAGGAGATTGGTTTGTCATTGAAGCCAGTTTATCTGTACTTGTCAGCTTCAATTAACACAGACCGGCACGGTAGTTTGATGGTCCGTATTCATTCATCATATTGAATGTTAATTTGCTGTTCTGCTGAGAAAATCTCACACACACACATACATACACACACACAAAAATCATTATGGTTTGGGGTTTTTGACCTTTCCATCTCTTCTACTCTTTTCAACTTTCAAAGGTTCAGATTCCTTCTATTTCTGTCAGTCGCCTTTATTTATTCCTATGTTGCCTATTTTCCCTTTTATGTGAATTTGTGAAACACAAGTTTTAGTCACCCAGCTTAGGATTCTCCCTGTAAATAGACAAAATGAAAGGGTAAAGTTGTTCATAGTGTCCAACTGCATAGAAAGACAAGGAATTCTTTAAAGCTCCGTTAAGCAACAATACTAATAGGCATAGCAAAGAAAGAACCCAGCTTTAACTTTGGAAGCATCCCAATTGCTGTGTTGAAGTCCTCATATTTGAGGTGTCCCTGTTTTGGAATTGTGGAAAATACTTTTTTTTTTATTTTTGTAGCCTTTTGGAGTTTCCACTGAGCTTTGCGAATAACTGGGTTAAAGTAAAACTATGCTCTCCTTTGAATGGTTGCTAAGATTGAGCATCATTATCGTTATCTGAGCTTTATCTAAACTATTTGGGATCTACTTGTTGGGTGGAACACCTGTCGCTTTTAAATGTCTGTACTAAATAAATTTAGGTTTCTTAGAACAAATAGGGCCTAAGCATAAAGTTGGATTTGAACTGTTTAAACTACAGTACATGTAGTTTTTATATCAATGAATGGAAAGCTAATTTCCGGAGTTGCGGTCTTGACAGGGTCTTATTATGGAATTTAACAAAAATTTCCATGCAAGTTTAACCTTGATGGAATTTAACCTTAAAATTCCGAAAGGGTCTTAACGTTGATGGAATTTAACGAAAAATTCCGTTAAGATTTTACTATATTTGTGTATGTTTGTATGGAACGTGCATCATTGATGCCTAGGAAGTGGATTGCATTGTTAATAGCCTCTTTATTCCTTTCCTTGGAAAATCTAGGGTTATTGAGATGCATATGATCATAGAAAATTGAGAATGGCCTGGGATCTTGACGGTTTTATCGTCAAGCTTTATGATTTCAAACTCCATTCTCACCAAAGGGTAGGGCTCAAATCCCTATTGAGGTACCACTTTTTTTAGAAAAGAGCTTAGATTTAATTGGTTAGCGCTTGACAATTTGCAATGTTACATTCGAGACTCAATTCCTAACATAGGGGCTCTCTCCCCACTTACCCAAAAAAAAAATATGATTATAAAAAATCTAGGGTCACAATGTTTACTACCATTCAATCCCATGATTGATGGAGAAAAAAAGGACACCGACCAATGGGCCATGTGACATGTTCTGGTGGGCCCAACACAACCTCCATCACCATCCAGCCATTGATTGGACAATGATGCCAATTTTGAACCTCTGTTTCCATTAGTCATATGGATCATGGTATACCATTCCCAAAAATATAGAATAAGCAAAATAAAATGCTCCCCAACCAATGGTAAGCAACCTTATAGGCACGTTTGGCACTGGAATGATGCAGTTCATGTGTCAAGCACATAAACACTTCAATGTAAAATCTTTAAGGGCACGTTTATTTCTCAAGAAATATCAATGTAAAATCTTTAAGGGCATGTTTGGTTTGTGTGAAAATATTTTTTGGGAAATATTAGTTTGTGAAAAATATTTTTACATAAAAAAAATTCCCTTACATGAAAAGTATGGGAATATTTTCACAACAATTAATTACCAATTAGTATGAAAAGATGCACAGATGCTAATCGGTGTGAATATTCCCATAAGTGAAACGAACGTGATCTAAATAAATCAATTCCAAGCTTATCTGCCTGAAATTTAAAAGAAAGTCCAGTGAACCAAACCGTTATTCTTCAAAGTTCTATGTTTCCTATAGCGAGATTTATTTCCTATAGCTATCATCAAAGAGTGTTTGTACTAAGAAAGCACCAATTGTTGAAAGCTGCCAGATTCTATTTGTATGTCTTATCTTCGGCATCAAGGGGTTACAAACCGACCATATGACCTACTAAGTGCCATTATTCAAAATACAGATTTTACAAACCGACCATATGACCTACTTAGTGCCATTATTCAAAATACAGATTTGGGGTCCAATGACAAGCAAGTTACCTATATAAATCTTTCCTTTTGTTGGGATTTGGACCTTCAACGGCGGTGTTTTAGCGGCATTTATGCCTTAACTGCTAAGCCATGAGTCCAAGACCTCAAATCATGTCTCGACAACAATATTGGAGTAGATTTGCAGATGAAACACAATGAGCTTGCTGTCAAGTTTTCTAGAAGTTTAGAATATGAATCAAATATCTTGTTATACAGATGGGAACATAGTTCCATATTCAAAGTGGGAAGGCTTTTGTCTGAGAGAGCTCTCACCCTAAAGATACCCCTAATGTTGGAATTTTTCCAATAGTAGAGAGCTATAGTCCCTTTGAACTGGAATTTTGTATCACTTCAGGCAATTTGGGAGGGAACAATGGCCCCATATGTACAAGCAAGAACTTGCATATTTTTAGTTGGTGGTGGCACAGTACAACTCACAAGAGACCACTGTCCACATTGGTTTGGACACAAGGGGTCCTATGCAACGATGTGTCGCATTTTCATTAGAGAAATTCCACGCGGAACTCGTTGAATCATCAGGCTGCCAGTTTATGCACCAGTATTGATTCTATGGTACATAAAGTGTGACAATCCATGTTGGAGAAGCCTACATGGCGCGTCCCTTTTTTCTTTCTTCTTCGAAACTCCACATAGGTAGTTGGGTAATCTTGAAAAGAATCAGAAGATTAAAAAGCATAACATGAACTTTGACATGTCTGTTTCCTTGCTAGCAACTGGCATGTGCTGCCTAAAATTCAATAAATAAAAGTTAATTAACATAATTAAATTTGTACATATTGTAGAAAAGAACATGGGCGTTTTAAAAATTATGAACTCACTGTAGTAAGGGGAATGTCATGTCATAGATGACATAGTTATCACTTGTGATAATCTTGAGGAAGATAAATATATTTGATGAAAAACCTTTACCCAAAAAAAATTTGAAAGGAAAGTTATTCATATTATGAGAGGAACATTGAATGAAGTGACTGATGATCCCCGTTACCAGCTATGGAGGCACATGAGCCATATCGAATTTAACATCTTTAGAGAATAACACAAGATATTTTAAAGATATGGGATTTGTTTAACCTCAATATTCTAGAAAATAAAGAATCAAATGTGCATTTTGTTTTGGAAACGTCTACCATGTTCGCACTCGCAAGGAGCTCGTGAAGGGTGCATCTATGTGTGTGTGCGCGAGAGAGAGAGAGAGAGAGAGATAGATGTGATAAAATTTATGTTTGTCATAGAGATATTAATGAAGATATTTATCGTTCAAAAAAATATATTGAAGGTATTTAGGAAATAAAATTAATATGTAAATTTTGATTTATTTTTGTAAATTTATATGTATCATTTAAGTCAAGCTATTTTTTCTATTTTTGAGATGATGTGAAAGCTAACAATAGAAGTTTTGATGGAGGTAGTTTAGGATTAAGATTTTGAGCAACAGTTTTTCAAATATTTTTTTCAATAGAATCAATATGTACAATTCATTTATTGTTTAAATCTAATATTTAAAACATAAGCAATTCAAACGAGAGTATTTTTACTTCAAATTTTGGATGATGTGAAACCCAAAACTGGTCAAGGTCAAAAAGCAATAGGGAGCTAAAGTTTAGAAACATGGATGCTTTTGAATGAAATAGGGGTATTTTCAGAAATAGTATGATTGGAACGAAATCACTTTAGAGTTTGACAAAAGACCACCCCAAACCTACATTTAGTATGTTATTGTTTGTGTTTCAAATAGTTTTCTAGCAGCTCCTTAACTGGTGATGTAAAAAACCAACACATGAGAATAGGGGTGGCAAAGGGTCGGGTCGGGTCGGGTCTAGGTCCGGCCCTACTTGGACCCGAAAAAATATAGTGTGAGACCCAGACCTGGACCCGGATCTGAACTTGACCCAAAAATTAAAATGTCTATCTATTTAACCATATTTAAATATATTTTATACAAGGACCCAAAAAATAGTACCAAACTCGGACCCAGACCAGATCCATTCGGACCCAAAGCACGACCTGAATAGTGTTCGGGTCCCAGATTTGAACACGGAACCGACCCTCTGGATCCAATTTTTGGACCCATACTCGAACCCAGAACGGGTCTATCCCTCAGGTCCCTGGTCGAGTTCGGGTCTATTGCCACCTCTAGCTGAGAAGTGTCATTCCTCCACTAGATCTGATGTCAACACCCCAACCATCTAATGCCATGACTGCGGCGGTTGAGGAGTTGCTAGCAAATGTTTGCAACCCAAATGGTATCATAGTATACAGTCCTTTTTGTTTTTGGGAACCTGTGGGCTCCCATACTAAAGGAAGATAGGGTTTTCTGGTCCTCCCACACTATATTCGGTTGCTTGGACAAATATTCCCTTTTTTTGGAGCCAACCATGAAGATGTTTGCTTTGCTTTCCCTACTTGTTCACATGTTTTCACAAGTGACCAAATCTTTGCACTTTTGTCATCAAAGAGATCATGTATGTAGATGTGTTTAAGAGAAGCCTTCTTGTAACTAAACCTAAATTAAGGGGCAATTATTAGAAGATGTGTTACAAAAATAGGGATTCACATTAGGAATTAGTTTATTTAAGGTTCCAGCCAAAATTGTAGAATTAAGGTTGCAATAATCCTCACCATTCATTTTAATTGAACCATGTAGAGTGGGGTATACATTTATCTGTCTAAAAATATGTACCAAATCTACATTGTTCAATTAAAATGAATGGTGTAGATTACATAACCTTAAATTTACCATTAAGGTTGCAGCCTTACACAAACCGCACCCTTTATATTAATAATTGAATCATTGCCAAAAAAAAATTGAACTTATTGGGATATAAATACCTAAATTCTGCATTTCGGGAAGCTGAGTTTGGATGCTTAAAATGTCTATTCATTTT